AGAGTCCTGGCTCCCTGATTACGATTATCCTACTTGTTCGAAGCAAAAAATGCCTGGGGCCCTGCGCTACAAGCAGAGTCAACCGTGCGTTGCGCAGTTCTCAACGGCCACGTTGCGCAGTTTCGCCCGATTAGACACGTTCTCTCGCGCGAACATTCACACTCGCATGCTCGAGCCGTCTGCGTCTCCGCCCATACAGCGTGCGTTGAGGATCTCTCAACGTGCCGTTGCGAACTGCGCAACGCAGGGTTGACTCTGGCTACAAGCGCCCAAAGTGGAGTGAGGAGCGATGCCGCCCAAGTTCGTTATTAATTGCCCTTAAATTCTTTGTACTGTTAACTATACGCAAGCATGTTGGACTAGCGAATGTTAGGAGTCTTCCTAGCTATCTTACTGCAAACGGCAAAAGAACAAACTCGCCAGGGAGTTGATCCCCTGACCTCTTTTTCGTGAGCCTCGACCACAGCCCCTGCGCTTTTCTGCTTCATAATTCCTTTCAGAGAAGAGTTCAGCAGATAAGGAACACATATTTGAGCTCAGCGTCCCAAGGCGCGTATACACATATACATCTCACTTTCAAATGGCCGAGTTGACCAAATGACCTTTCCTGGTTAGAGGAGAAGATTGAATCCGGGGCGCGTAAACAATTTCCATTATCTCTGGAATTTTTCCCTTTCCTCAGGCTTCCCTTAGTCCCATTGGCCTCCTTAACATCCCCTCTCCATGGGAAGCGTACTACGCCCAAACTCTTCTTGGGTCTATTCCAGTTAGGGGGGAGGCATCATGATGCAGTTTTTCCAGAAAGCTAGGGTAACTCCGAGCCAGGGGGAGTGCCAGCTAGGGGTGAGGGCAGTCACTTGACATGCGTGAAAAGCTGGAATGTTCTGTTCACACTAGTTCGCCGAGAAACTGCATCATGATGCCCCCCAAACTGGAATGAAACCCCACTCTCGTCTAAAAATATTGGCATCAGCAAAATAGCAAGGATCACGGGAAGGATACGCGCAAATTGGATTCGTTGTGAAAAAAAAGTGTGAGTGAAAAAGTGTGAAAAAAGTGGAATGTGAGCGAAGAACGTGGACATTGAGGTAGTGGTTGCATGGCTGGTGGTTTTCGCAGTTTGATCCGAGCCGCAATACACCATCTCTAAAAAAGACCTGTTATTGTCGTGCAGTTTCAGGGTTCCCAACAACGCCATCTAGCAGGGGTCATACGGTGGCGACAGCTGTCGCGCCAACTACAGAGATTCCAACTTTTGCAAGGTAGGAAATCTCGGGAATCATTTTAGTTCCATAACCATTTTACGTAATCATTTTAGATCCGCCTTTACACCCATTCTAGAAATTCCTTTCCCCTCGAAAAATTGGATTACTGTGGGCGATACGAATTGGCGCACAATATGCTTCTTATTAGATGAGACCTGGGGCTGTACGCTCCCTAAACTTGGATCCAATGTTTCCTTTAAATTTTTTTTGGACAGTATAGTTTCTTCATTTTAGTGCATGTTACTTTTACTCACATACATTAAATGTAGGCCTTTGATCAGGGCAATCCCAGTTGGGAAGAAAGAGAAAATTCAAAGGATTTCCGTCCCCCTACCCCATGGTAGGAGGTAGCATACGGCCCCTGGTGTCCCCCACTTGCTCTCCTCTGTCGCGATCACAGTCTACCCTAGAAAACATATGACCGTATTGCTCGATACCAAATAATGTTCGCGGATGTTCGGCTATCCTTCTAGCCTGGGTCTTCAAAAAAAATACGCGAAATCCGCTAGAAGAGTCTTATTAGTGGGCAAATCTCGGAATCATGGAATTGGCCCAGCTTCTCTGGAAGGATCGATTTGTTGACTTTGCTGGCTCGTGAGAGCGAAAAATAAAGAGATAGTGGAATCAGCGAGATCGGTAGAACATATGCATAGTTCTGGTAATCATGACATCCGTAGATTCAGCAATTTGCCAATCGATACCAACCTCTTCCGCGTAATCGTAGATTCTCTCAGAATAGCGGCAACCACTGACAATGTCAACATCAGGCTTATAACTTACTATATCACCAGATCTTAGCTGAATCTGCGTTCATAGTTCAAAAAATTCGTCGATTCGTAATGACCGTGACGCGTGGCCGCCCGACGCGCTTTTCATTTTACCGCGCTCAATATTTATGCTCTTCCCTCACTCTCTTTCGGCAAAACAATCGATAGCTATTTAATCTATGCTGTGTTGCGAGTTATGTTTACAGCTAGCTGCAGCTGTTTTATTGCACCTGCACCACGACCTCGTCATTGTTTACGTAATTTACGCTTGAAAATCTCATAAATCTGGAACGCGGGGAATTTCCCAGAAGTTCACTTCAAAGCGCAGGGCTGAACGGAAGGAATTCAACTCTTCACGAACTCCAATTGGAGACCTGGGTAAAGTGACCCAGGTTGTGAGCGGCCCAAACTTGGCAGGAAATGTACGTCAGTATATGAGACGGACTAATCTATCTGTGCGGCCTATCTTAATTTCCTCCGGAATTTGCTTGCAGGGATGAATACGGAGCCTGGTCACCAACATGACATCCATTTCTGACACAGGGGTCATGTGTCACCATTTTGGCGCTACAACTTAATTTTTTGCTGCTTTTCTTGCCAACTTTGGCCGATCACAACTTGCTGGGCAAGTTATTAGGTTGTCTCATAAGTGATGTCGTTTTTTTTCAACCAAAAAATTTTCATCTAAATCATGAAACTTTTACATCGTTTTATATATCATTCGAAAGAGAATTGTCTGCTCTACAAAATGCTGTGTTCCGCTTCCACCGCTATTTCAGAGTTTTCGAATTTCAGGCCAGCAAAATGGGAGGTCTCGCCGGCAAAAATTGACCAAACCGACAACTGGCTGTAACTTTATTTTCCCTGGGGAGAAATCAACCAGTGATATACCCTATACTTACCCATGACCTCTTCTAAACATTCCACTCTTAGGTTGCCGAAAAAGCTTTGCCGTTTTTCTTTTCGAATTGGCTGACGGATAAGCCATAGCAATTTTCAAATTAAAATTGTTCCTCGTAAACGTCATTGTTTCATATCGAGTGGTGTTCCTTTTACGAGCACTTCTTCTGCTCTACTCGCTCATTTGTTTTGTTTCTCTGTTTGTTGGGAATTAGTTCGAATTTTAGATGTTTCGGTATAAGGTGCTTTTACCGCGAAAGTGACCACATTTCTTTGAAAAAAATTATCCCTTAGAAAATGAGAAAATCAACCAGTCGTACATTCCTAACTTAGTCATGACTTGTTCTTCAAATTCAACCAGTTCTTCAACGTCTCGGCCATAAAAAAATTTCGACCTAGATCACAGGTAATGGTGCTCGATCGTCGAGTTCTGGTTGAAAAACCAGCTCTGGAAATTGAACGACGCGATTTGTAGGAAAACCTAATAGTGTAATGTTAGAAGAGGTCATGCATAAGTAGAGGGTACATCATTGATTGATTTCTCCCAAGGGAAGATAAAGTTAGAGATAGTTGTCGGTTTGGTCAATTTTTGTCGGCTGGACCTCCCATTTCGCAGGCCTAAAATTTGAAAACCCTGGAACAAAGTGGAAGAGGAACATAGCATCTTGTAGAGCAGACAATTCTCTTTCGAATGGTATATAACACGATGTAAAAGCATGGGGATTTAGATGAAAATTTTTTGGTTGAAAAAAAGCGACACTATTTATGAGACAACCTAATACATAGGGTTCCTTCTCCAAATGATACAAGTATTCTTGACCATCGATTTGCCTAGGTCTCCATCCAGAGTTCCATGGGTTAGGGGGGTGGTTGAAAAGATCCGCTGGCTACAAACCTTCAAATGGGTAGGCGTTACGTTGCTAACTTACTTAGGGGGGACCACGCGGCGGGGCGGTGCCTTGTTCGTCTATTCCCCCAAACGCTTACAATTAGTCTCCGATGGCGTGCATTTTGAAACTGCCATGTGATGGGGAAGTCGTAACCGCTCCTGGGACTGAGGGCCGACGGACTACTTGAACTCAGCCCTTTACCGCCTCTGCGCTCTCTAGCGGGTCCCTCTCCTCTCCAAGGCTTAGTCCTAGGGCATTCTCTAATCGTCTGTGCTCTAGCCATCGCGGCAGGACCATTGAGGAAAAATCAAGTAGTCCGTAAAGGTTGGCGGCAATGAGTGTTCATCATCTGAAGCCTTTGAGCTTTTGCTTTGCGCTTTTTCAACCGGTCTCGGTGACATGTGGTACATAGTTTCAGGTGTATGTTGCTAGAAATTTTTTTCCGATTTTTTTCTGATTTGATAGTCCGACGCCCAGATGGGATGGAATTCCGGTGAATGCAATGCTTTGAAGTAGAACAGGGAGTTTTAGACGAGAAGAGTGGTTCGAACGCGGACTCGATGTTCAATGGCCATTGCGGACTTATTGCGATATCGTATGAATAAACTTCAAGAATTGCAGATTAGGAGCTGATACTTCCTGCTTCGTTAACTCCTATCTTTTCTTACTTTTTTAATTTCATGAAGGCTCCAGTCTTGTTTCGGTAGTAGGGGTGTACATGATATTTGATCGCGATTATATAGGTAAAACTTTAACATTTTTACGCAGTTTTGTTTGCTTGCTAAATTTTGGGTTCTACTTATTTTAGCGGGTTATTCGTTTTCTTTTTATCAGCAGTCATCGTATATAAAAACAATTGACTCCATTTGTAAGATAGTGACGTAATCCATTTATTATTGACCTGGCGGTCGCATAAATCCCCCTGCAAAATGCATCTCTCTGCGTTCTTATCGATTTTCGTTTCTTTCGCCACCCTGCGCATTTGGGGCTTGCCGTGAAAGTATTTCGGGGATAGCTCATCCAATTTTCTTTTATCGACTCCTGGAATTATGCCACTTTTTCATATTGCGGTCGATTCCCAGCGGTGCTGCTCTGAAGTTGGCTGAGCAAAAGCGCTCTTTCCTTTTGAAAGATTTTTCCTTTCTTCTGTTTCTGATTTATTTGTTTTAAAGAACGAGATGCCGGCCGTAAAAGGAGATGGAATGCGAGGATTGGCCGTTTTTATATCGGATATACGAAATTGTAAAAGTAAAGAGGCTGAAATGAAGCGGATAAATAAAGAACTCGCCAATATAAGGTCAAAGTTCAAAGGTGAGTGAAGTTCAGAGCGCAGTCGCGTAGTTGTTTTTTCAAGTATCATAATGTCATTAAGCTTCAGGACAAGTTCTTTCTTCGTATTTTAATCGCCCTGATACAAATATTATTCTTACTAGCAGTTGTTTTGTTTTTTCTAAGGAGACTCGTTTTCCTTTCAGGAGACAAAACTTTGGATGGATATCAAAAGAAGAAATACGTTTGCAAACTGCTGTTCATTTTCCTTCTGGGAAATGATATTGATTTTGGTCACATGGAAGCTGTCAATCTTCTTTCATCAAATAAGTATACAGAGAAACAGATTGTAAGTTTGTTCTTGTGTCATATCAATTCCTTTCTTGATTTTATAAATGAAATTGGCATTGCCTTCAAATCATGTTGCATCCTCCTGAAATTGACCTTATCCTTAAGGCTGAAGCATTGTAATTGCTCCTCTGGTAGAATGTGCTTGGTTACTTTTATTGTAAAATTGTAAACGAGTATAAGTTACGCACCTTTTTGTGATAATTATGAAAATTAAAAACGAAGACCACACGGAAATAAGAAGAAAGTATAATTTGTTGCCTCCTTTCCCAGACAACCTTTGTTATTTCATGTTGACCTTCAACAACCCGAACTTCCCATATTTTAGGGATATTTGTTCATCTCTGTTTTGATCGAGCAGAATTCTGATTTGATGAAACTGATCGTACAAGCGATTCGCAACGATCTGACTTCTCGCAATCCGATCCACGTCAACCTCGCTCTTCAGTGTATCTCAAACATTGGTAGTCGTGATATGGCAGAAGCGTTCTCAAACGATCTTCCAAAATTGCTGGTTTCTGGGTAGAGCCAATCTTTTAAATTACTAGGTTATGTCTGGTTGAGACTATATTGCCTGGTTCTTTTTTGTTCTTATTATTCTTCTTAGTGTTCTCTTTATAGTGTATTTTCATAATGAGAGGCTAAGGTTGGTTTATCACTGACAGGTAATAAATCCTTTTGTGGCTTTTGCCCATATTAGAACTTATAGAACCATCGGAAGCTCATTTTCATCGTTTCGAATAAGCTAAACGCTTCTGTAGTTTTCTATTTTGAGCTTCGAGTTTGAGTGTACTTATTACATTTAACGTTACTTCAAAAATATCAGCGTGATTTCAGTGATACCATTGATTTTGTAAAACAGTCGGCAGCATTATGCTTACTGAAGTTATTTCGGACAGCTCCCGACATCATTCAACCGGGTGAATATGCCAGTAGAATTGTTCACTTACTAAACGACTCGCACATGGTGAGCAGTTTTGGTTTTGGATCTATTTCCAGTGAAAGATTCCCTATGATCTATTTGAGGGTGTTGTCACGTCAGCGGCCTCTCTGATTGAATCGCTTTCGAAAAAAGTGGCCTGATGAATATAAGGTGAGTTTTCGTTTGGTTCTTCGAAGAGAAGTGGAAAATCACTGAATTTTCATTGGCGACACTTATTGACATTGACTTATAGGGTTGCGTGCCACTGGCGATTTCTCGATTGAGTAGGATAGTGACGGCAACTTATACGGATCTTCAAGATTACACCTATTATTTCGTCCCTGCACCTTGGTTGTGTGTGAAACTACTGCGACTGCTGCAGAATTATCCCCCTCCAGGTGAATATTGAAAGAAGTGGAAGAAAACAACTTTTTTAAAATACAATTTTCCAGAGGATCCTTCAAACAAGGCTCGTCTGCTTGAATGTTTGGAAGGAGTTTTGAATAAAGCTCAAGATGCGCCAAAATCCAAAAAGGTACGCTGAGAAAGTTTTGATCCTACTTGTCCTCCTTATTGTGGTGACATTAAGGTGCAACATTCTAATGCGAAAAACGCTGTGTTGTTTGAAGCCATAGCCTTGATCATTCATATGGATAGCGAAGCAAATCTTCTAGTTCGCGCTTGCAATCAACTTGGTACATTCCTTGCGCACAGAGAAACGAACTTGCGGTGGGTATCTTCACGATCTATGGACTGGTTGCTGTGCTCTATGGTTTATTGATTTTCAGGTATTTGGCGTTAGAATCTATGTGTCTGTTAGCAACATCTGAGTTCTCACATGAAACAGTGAAGAAGCATCAGGAAACCATCATAAACAGCCTAAAAACGGAAAGGTACTTCACGAATTGTTCCATTTGGAGCATTGTCCTAAACTTTTCACCTATCTCGTACTTTTCAGAGACGTTTCTGTGCGACAACGTGCTGTCGACCTACTCTACGCTATGTGTGATCGCACAAATGCCAGTGAGATTGTTTCGGAAATGCTATCTTATCTGGAAACGGCCGATTACTCTATCAGAGAAGAGATGGTAAGCTTCACGCAGCTTTTTTTTGTCAATTTGGAATCTTGACTTTGGAGAGGGTCATAACATTTTTCTCTCGGTCTTTCCAGGTGTTAAAAGTGGCTATCTTGGCTGAAAAGTATGCTACTGACTATACTTGGTATGTTGATGTAATCCTGAAGTTGATTCGAATTGCCGGTGACTACGTGTCGGAAGAAGTATGGTATAGAGTAATTCAGGTGAGAATATCGTTCTTTCTTTGAGCAGACTGGTTTTGTGCAATATACGTCAATCGAGCGGAAATGGCACTCACTTTCTCTTCAGATTGTTGTCAATCGTGAGGACGTTCAAGGATATGCTGCGAAAACGGTATTTGAAGCCCTGCAGGTACTTACTTAGTATAGGTTTAACTTTCACGACATGGTCGCATCTTTGTCATTAGTTAAATTCTTACTAATATCCTTACTCATGGTTCACACGAGAAAATCTTTTATTCCGAACATATTCCAGAGGCCGGCTTGCCATGAGAACATGGTGAAGGTTGGTGGATATATATTGGGAGAGTTTGGTAATTTAATAGCTGGTGACCAAAGATCGAGGTATGTTGAAATAGTAATCCCGTTTTGTGAAAGACAGGATAACGCAGCTTTTATCTTGACTGATGCTTAACTGATAAATCAACTACTCACATATTTTGTAGTCCTCAAATCCAATTCGAGCTGCTGCACTCGAAATTCCCTTTGTGCAGTATTGCAACCAGATGCCTGCTTCTCACGACTTACGTGAAGTTTTGCAATTTGTTCCCCGAGATCAAGCACATAATCCAACAGGTTTGTGTGCTTTGTGTGCTTTTAGCAGTTTCTATTCCTTCGATGGTTTCCCATTTACGGTTTGTGTTATTAATAATGTTGCGTCGTTATTTAGGTGTATCAAATCGATCATAACTTACGAAATCCGGATGCGGAGTTGCAACAACGGGCTGTGGAGTACCTCCAAATGAGTAAAATCGCAAGTCCAGATGTTTTGGCTACGGTAAATTGCTTCCTCCGTTTGGATCCCTCTATGCCGTTTCCTATTGACGGTTGGCCGCTGAAAAATTTGTATCTTGATGGTTTAAACGGAAAATATTTACACAACGGATCCAAAATGTACCTCTGCACCAGCTTCTTAAAATTAACCTGCTCACATGAATGGTCATATCACTTCTTCTCTACCAGGCTTTCTTTTTCACTAATGTTTTTGTAGATATTGGAGGAGATGCCGCCATTCGCAGAGAAAGAAAGCAGCCTTCTAGCCAAGCTCAAGAAAAGCAAACCACAGGTCGAGGAAATGGAGAATGTGGAGAAGGAGAAGAAAAGTCGGCCCAACGCAACCATGGCTAAGGTGTTTCATTTAAGAATTTATTATTAGTAAGCTCATTTGTAATCGAGCTCTCGTTGCTTTTTCGCGCTTCATTTTATGGATTCTTCACTTTTGTTCTAAAGATTGAGAGTGCTACGTCTTACCCTTTACTTTGCTCTCTGTCGCCTCCTAGCGATCTTTGGTTGGTTCTAAGATTGTGGGCATATACCTCATCTTTTTTCGACCGTGCTAATATTGCCGCCTCCTTCCCACTGATATATAGGAGGACAATGCTCTTCCTGTCTCTTGTGATACAGCCTTAGGAGCTTTGCATTTTTAAGCCTTAGTCGTTACTTTTTTGGTTGGCTATATATTTGCATCCGTTTAGGATGGTGGTTCTGGAACACTCGTCGATTTCTCGCAACCCGGAAATGAAGGATCTGAGTAAGATTTATTTGCAGTGTCTTCTTTATATCTTTACTCTTTGTAATCAAGTTTTCTTTAGCTCACTTGTTGATGTCTTTGGACATGCATCTTCCGGAAGATCTCAGGAACATGCCCCTTCAGGCATGGGCGGTGCAGGAGAAGAAATGGACATTGCGAACAAGCATGATTATCTGAAGTTAGTTTCAGTGTCCTCTCTATTTTTTGGCTATGTTTTTGCAGCAGTAGAAAGTGTTATATCGCTCATTCGCTATTTCAACTTTTTCTGAAAGAGGGCGCAATGAGAAGAAATTGCGTGACGTGTAGTCATTGATTTGAGGCTGACACGTTTGTATGAATTGTGTTCAGGTTCGTTGTGAAAAATAACGGCGTACTATACGAAGATGAAGTGATTCAAATTGGCTGCAAGCTTGAGGCGAGGACGAATCTGGCACGTTTGGGAATGTTCTACGGCAACAAGACATCTCATCCGTTCACCGACTTCATCCCCACTGTTAGCTGTCCCGGAATACTCGCTGTACAGCTTCAAGCCCAGGTTTGATTTCTATTTTTTTCGCTATGTTTGCTTCCAGGAAATTACGTTTTAGTTCAAAAAGGTTTGAAAAATTGTCATCATTATAGCTAAGGCCTTTAAGAAGTGAAAGTATTAGGTCGGTCCATAAGTCTTGCAACAAACTGGCCGAATTTTGAATTTAATATTTTCATTATCTTTTTGTTCCATTCATCCGGCATGCTACCCTCCATCAATATCTACAACCTATTGCCAACACACTAGTAGCTGCTCGATGCCTCCCTTGTAGGACTCTACTGAATTCTGATCGAAGAAAGATCAGATGTCGATTTTGACATCATCATAGTTAGGATGAGCTTTCTTCTCTAGGAGATGGTTTGGAGAGGGGAGCAGAAGGGCATTATTTGGCACGAGGTCAGGGCTATAACGTGGATACGGAAGAACTCTCCGTCCTAGAGTCTCAAAATTTTCCTGAATTTTCTTAGCAAGAGGTGGTTCAACGGTGTCATACAAAAGCAAACTTTGCCTTGTTTTTCTTTCGTATTAAAAGCGTTGCATTCGAGCTGTGGATAGTTGACTTTCGCGTTGACTGCGACATCTACACGTAGGGGTTTCCAGAGCTTAACTCCTCTCGTGTTCCACCAAAAATCCGAGAAGGCCCTACTTGGACGAGGTTGAACTTAAGCAATAAGAACTCCCGAAGCGTTTGAGCTGGACTACCGCCGCTTGTTCATTTGTTAGTAAACTGTACCCACTCCTCATCTTCGGCAAATGTGATGGATGGTCAATCGTAGAATCCCTAGTAAGTCGACTTGAACATAACGGTGTCAGATCGTGTTTGGAGCTGAATCGGGCTCAAGGCACGTGGGGACCAAACTCTACATTTTCGGATCTTCACAAGTCTTTGGAGATGCCACAGTGCTGTCTCCT